CCGCTTTGTCTTCAGCGGTTGTGTCGGGAAGGTGAGCATCATAGAATGCCAATTTAATAGAAGAAAGTATTCTTGCTTTGAGGGAGTACTTGAATGGAGGCCCAATGTCCTTCTGCTACCTTAATACTAAACCTATAAATATAGGCACATAGGTATATTTCCCCATCCTCGTATAAATATATTTGCATATGTACATGTCTTTATCTAGACCTCTATAAATGCCCTTTGCCTCCCAGCTCTTTCTTACTGGTGGAGTCAAACAATTTAGTATTTGGTTTCAAGAAGAATTCAGGGGCTCTTTTCCGTGGTGCCGCAGAGGTGATCGGCTGCTTCACTGTGAAGCCGAACATCTCCTTCCCAGCCACTGGCTGCCAGAAACGCATTGAAGTGGATGATGAATGCAAACTTCGCACCTTTTATGAGACGTAAATGGCCACGGAGGTCGCCGCCGAGGCGCTGGGCGATGAATGGAAGGGCTGTGTTGTCCGCATCAGCGGTGGGAATGACAAGGTTTTCCCATGAAGCAAGGTGTCTTGGCCCACGGCCGTGTCTGCCTGCTGCTGAGTAAGGGGCGCTCCTGCTACAGGCCAAGGAGACCTGGGGAGTGGACACGCAAATCTGTCCGGGGCTGCATTGTGGATGCCAATGTGAGCGTTCTCAACTTGGTTATTGTAAAGAGAGGGGAGATAGATATCCCAGGGCTGACTGACACAACTGTGCCTCGTCGCCTGGGACCCCAAAGAGCCAGCAGAATCCGCAAACTATTCAACCTCTAAAGAAGATGACGTCCGCCAGTACACTGTAAGAAAGCCCCTGAACAAAGAAGACAAGAAACCCAGGACCAAAGCACCCATGATTCAGCGTCTTGTGACTCCAAGCGCCTGCGCATTGCCCTGAAGAAGCAGCGCTCCAAAAAAGACGAGGAGGAGGCCGCCGAATACGCCAAGCTTTGGGACAAGAGAATGAAGGATGCCAAAGAGAAAGGGCAGGAACAGACTGCCCAGCGACGGAGGCTGTCCTCGCTGAGGGCTTCCACCTGAGTCTGAGCCTAGTCAAAAATAAGTAAGCTCATCTATTTAAAGAAAGAAGAATTCAGGGAGCATATTTGGACTACAATACAAGATTGTATATCGGAGTAATCGTTTAGGGGTCCACCCAACTTCCCTGGCTCCAGAAAATCTGTATTCCCTGAGATTTTAAATTCTGTTCTTCATTTTTCCCTTTCGATCAGGATTCTCCAATAGAATATTTTTTCAAAATGTCTGGTGATGGTAGCTGGCCACCATCCGGTTCCAGTCTCACGGCGAAGAAGGCCATTAGCTACACATCACAGATCTCCCTCCCATCCCTGACTCCCGTGCGGCCACTACTGCCTCCGGGTGGATGGAGACCAGTTGCTGTCTCTGCCTTGATGGCTCCTTGCAAGCTTCGAAACCCCCAAGCTTCATGCAATGAAGTAAAACAGCAGCACTAACTAAGCACATTATTAGGCCAGTGAACTGGGGTGTCAGGAAGGAAACCGTGGCCCTAAGCTTCCCACCAAGGAGACCTATGGTTAAAGTTCGCAGCTGCTAACAGCCGTTGGTGGGTCATGCGACCAGGCATTGTGTTGGAGCGAAAGAGGAACCGTCTGCTTCTGTGAAGATTTACAGCCTCGGAAACCTTCGGGGCAGTTATATCCCTCACAGTGGCTCTGAGGCAGGACCACCCGGGCAACGGTGTGTCAATAAACCTAGCCCCATGAGGTGTTTTGTTGTACAATAAGCAACATCGCAATAAACAAAGAAAAGATTGACGTGGTCAAGGTTTCCATTTTGTTTGGATTCACAGTCAGTGCCCGTGGAAGCAGCGATCAAGAAATCAGATTACTTTTGCATTAGCGAGATCTACTGTAAACGATACCTAAAACTGCCAAAAAAGCAAAGCTGTTACTCTACAGGTTAATGTATACTTGACCCAAACCATGATATTTTCAGCTGCCTAATATACATGTAAAAGCTGGACAATTTCTGAGGGAGGCCGAAGGAGGATCAATGCCTTTGAATTATTGCAGTGAAGAACCGTCCCTGTGCCGTGGACTGCCAGCGAGGACAAGAGTGTGTTGGAAGGCGTGCAGCCCTACTGCTCCTCAGAAGCTTAGGCTGGTGAGATTTCTTCTCATGTACTTGGGACATGGCATGGACAGACCAGTTCTTGGAGAAAGGATATTATTCTTGGTCAACAAAAAAGAGGAAGACCCTCAGCTTTGAATTCAGGTGGGACCCAGATCAACATGTGTTAAGGCCCAGAAGAGGAGGCCTATGTGCCTCGGCCCTTGGGGCAAGGAACCAAGGATGCCAAAAAGCCCTGCCTTTCTTTGGCCCCACCTGTAGCTGGTGATGGCAAATAAGGGAGTTCCATTCTGAACCATTGCTGAAAGCTACTGATCTTCCAGCTGAAAGCCCAACCCGTCCTCTTCCTCCTCCGGGAGGGGCACTTGCTAGGCCAGTTTGACTAAAAAAACAAATCCGGAGACACTCATCTATGTGTAGCCAAGAGCTTTAGATCAAGGAGTAGTTCTGTATTAATAAAACATCCCAGCCCAGTCCAAATCAAGTCCATGCGTCTGATACTAGTCCGTAAGTCCCTCTTCAGACTCACGCAGCCACATGCAATGATGCAGAATGCAGGAGGACCACAGACGGGTGGGTGCAAAGTCGTGTGGATCCAAGGGTGGTGGCTCTGGCTACAGTCACGGTCCACCTGCAAGAAAGTGAAGGCAGAGGGGGAGGTTCCCGGGGCCCTCTTTATGAGAAGGCCACGCCCACAAGGAGGTACCATCACGCTGCGACCTGATTGACAGGCTAGACTCCACCCTACACTCTTAAATCTTCAAGTTGACATGCAGTTATATAACTACCACAGGGGACTAAAAGCATATGGACTGAATGCCTTTATAGTTAGTTACTAGTCCTGTTTGTTGCCGTTAAGTGATAGTGACCCTACAGAACAGAGTGAAAGTTCCTACAGGCTTTCCAGTGTTGTAAATCTTCATGGGAGCAGACTGCTACATCTGTCTTCCATGGTTCAGTGGCAACCAGGTGATTAACTACTACCTCACCAGGGCTCATCTGGTCCTACTTACACCTTCCTACACCAAACATCTACCTTTGACAAACCAGCTACTTAGCTTTAGTGTGTCAAGTATTGGACTGCCAGCCAAAAGATTGGCAGTTTAAACCCCCCAGCCGCTCCTTGGAAGAAAGATGAGGTAATCCAATAGAGCAGTTGGACTCTGCCCTATGGGGTTCCGGTGTCCTGTAGGGTCCGCGTCAATTGTGACCAGCTGACCTGAGGGCAGGAGGTTTAGTTTGGCAAGTTTGTTAGGCTGGCTTTTCTAGAGAAACAGCACCTTGATCCTCAGAGATGTAGAAGAAAGAATTTTGTACCAAGGATGCCTTCCAGCTCAGTCCAACTCCTGTACAAAAGTCAGCAGCTGGCTGGAGGCCCCTCCAGACAGTGGCAACTGCTGACCAATGAGGCAGGAAGCCAGGAGATCCTAGACCGGTGCAGAGTCACGTGGACCCAAGGTCAGGCTAGAACTGCCCCCTGAATAATGTCCAAGACTGTAACTGTTTACAGGTGTAGAAAGCCTGTCTTTCTTCCTCAGAACCCTTGGTGGTTTCAAATTGTTGACCTTGATCACAGCCCAACAAGTAACCAGCACACCACCAGGGCTCCTCAGTAAGAGGCAAAAGAGTTCATGTGCTGGTCACCGGTGTGCCAGTCTTCTCAGGACTTGGCTGGTCCCCCATTGATGGCAGTGCCTTTGAAGGAGCCAACAAGAGCTTTTCTTCTAGTGCCAAGAATCACCCCAAACATATTCTCCATGGGTAAAACCTCCTGTCCAGCAAAGAGGGACCCTTATGATTGTCCAAACAGATCATACTGGTAATAGTGCTCACACACGATTGCATCCTGGCAGGCAATCGAGCGGCATTCTCCCTTAGAATCAATGGAGAGAGCAACGCTGCATTGACTCCTGGCTCTGGAGGCTAGACAGCACCGGCGCTACATCTTGTCGTCCACGTAGCAAGCGCAGTGTCCAGAGGGTTACCTTGTTAGGGAATGTCCTCATTACCAACCCTGCCCCTTCTAGCTGTGTTTCGCTGTCTTTACCAAAATAATGAGTGCCCCTCCCCATTTTCCCAGACATGGCCATGACCCCTCTGCCGGCCTCACAGCACTTGTCACTGCCCGTGTGTCTGTGTGTACGTGCTCAAGGAAAGCTGTTGAGTGAATGAATGAATCTGTCTCCCCAACCAGGTGCAGGGCCTGGCACGGCAGCAGTCAGTGCAGGTTTGCTGCAAGATGGAGTGTAAGCTGGAAAAGGCCCAGCAAGCGACGCCTCTCAATAAATGATGGTTCCTCCTTGCTAGCCACATCTTTCCCTCACTCCCTAGCGGTGCGCCTCACTTCTCCGGGCCTCCTTTCCTCAAACAGATGCGAGGGATAACAGTTTGGGGATTATTGAAATGCTAACCTCAGTGTGAAGCTTCAATGGGACACTGTCTGGACAGCTCGCCTCAGCCAACAGGGGCTCGATATCACTTAGAAAGGAAGCTCAGAAAGGTGGAGGTGGTCAGAAACCACTGATTAGGGGTGTCTTGTTGCCCCGGGGGTGGGGAGAGGGAACAGGGAAGTGGGAAGGGGAGTCAGGAGTGCTGGAAGGGCTACACAAAATGCCTCCACCCTCCCCCAGCCATCGAGCTGATCAAGGACCTGGTCAACTATGAGGTGCGCAAGGCGCTGCTGCAGGGCCTCGTGGCGCTGCTGATACCGTGCGTCGAGGAGACCTCCAAACTACAGCCCAAGATCCTCACGGGTACAGGACGGGGAGCCGCAGGGGGCATTGGGAGGGTGCCTCCTGCCCAGAGGCTGCCTAAGGTGGGCTAAGTGTGACACATGACCTGGGCCTCACTTAGAGGGGGCGGGGGCGCATCTACACAGTGTCCAGTAACCCAGTACAGCCTAACTTCCTTGCGCAAACTCCATACACCTCTGGAAGCCTAGCAGGACAGGGCAGAGAGGACCCTGCGAGTGCCAGGGGGCGCCCTGGAGTGCCATTCCACACCCTTGAAAGGCCCCTGACAGAGGCAGGGGGCAAAGGAAGGGAGGGTGTTCCTGCTGACGCCCCCCGCGCAGCTGTCAGACGTCAGTTCATCTTGAAGTCGGTGGAGACGGGGCAGTTGAGAGATTGCCGCTGCTCCTGCCTCCCTCCCCAGACGCCTCGGTGCTGCAGCTCACCGCCCACCTGCCGGTGTTCTTGCAGCAGGCGGCGGCCGCCAAAGCCA